AGATGCAGAGGTTTTGAGTGTTGAGAAATGACTTTTCTCCAGTGTTAGGAGCATCCACATGTTAGGTGTGACTCAGGTGGGGGGTGGGTGAGTTAGCGCTCATACCACGATGCCTCGTCTCCAGCCACACTGGTGCACGTGCTGGGGGCCTGGTGATACCACGTCTGAATCAACGCCTTCAGTGACGGTGCCAGGTGACAAGGAATTTGGCCAAGATCTTGGCGCACAGAGCCCAGGCCACCCCCGCCCCCACGGAACTGAAACCCTTTCTCTTTCAGGAGGTGTTGGAGTTGGCGTTCTCCATCCTGTATGACCCTGATGAGACCTTAAACTTCATCGCACCTAACAAGTATGAGGTGAGCAGTGTGGTCCCGCTTTGGACAGCCCCGCCCCTTCTGTGACTCTTCAGCTGAAGGCAGGAGTGGGCAGAACAGGGACATCCCCCAGAGGCAGGGGACCACAGCATGTCATGAAGGCTTTTTGGCGCCAGCGATCTGCCAGGCTGGCGTCCATCCCCCTGGGCTGGGCTCCCCAGCTTACTGCTCTTCAGCAGCAGCCGTAAGTTGCAGTTAGAAAATCAGGGTCACAGGGGATAAGCGAACTTGTCTGGACTGGGAAAACTCTCCCCCTTTACAGTCTCCGCATGGCCACCTTCCCGAGCGAACCCGACAGATCCTCCGTCCTCAGGGCTCCTGGGCACAGGTGGTAGAGGGTCTGGCCTGGGCTTTGGGGCTGACGGGTCTGGTTCGCCTGACGGGCCCCCACAGTGGTACTTGCAGCACTGGAAGATACTTGGTGTTACATGAGTAACTGTGCTTGAGCCCCGTGTGGCTGCTGAGCTCGGGGAGCATCAGAGGGCACTAGAGGTGGGGCTTCTGGAAGAGGAGACACTTTGGCAGCCCCGAGCTGCCAGTGGAATTCTGTTGGGAAGAAGTGAAGAACTAGCAGGTGGGGAGACAGGTGAGCAAAGGCAGGGAAAAAGACTGAGCAGGAGTGAGAGAGGGATAGGTCGACAGTTCTCTGTTATTCCTCCCTATCATGAGACCCTCAAGTTCAATTTCTCTAGCACTTACTTTTAACATTTGTTGACTGGGCTTTTTTTTTTTTAACTTTTTTTGAAATAAAATTGAGATGCTACAGTGATTCCTTTTGGGTCCTGCTTTTTACACCTAATATGTATCCCCCTCCCCGCAACCATTGCTCATTTCCTGGGCAGTTTTGGCTAGTTGATGCCCCAGTACTCAGGTCTTGTTTTGCTGTATTCATTAGTTGCATTTTTAAAAAATCATATTTAAAAAAATAAATAAAAATAAATCATATTTCAGATTATCTCAGGAAGCTTAAATGTAAATCCCTCATAAAAGCCAAAAGGTTGTTTTTTGTTTTTTTTTTTTGGAAAGTGAATGATCACCTCCCATTTTATCTTTGCCATTATCCCAAATCAGCTCTGCCTATACTAAGTAGTGTCAAAAGAGACTACGGTGAATCCTGTCATCAAAGGGACCTTGGCAGGCCCTCCGGCTGACCAGGGGCCACCATGTGATGTTTTACAACTTGCTTCCACAGTACTGCATCTGGATCGATGGCCTCAGTGCCCTTCTGGGGAAGGACATGTCCAGCGAGCTGACCAAGAGTGACCTGGACACCCTGCTGAGCATGGAGATGAAGCTGCGGCTCCTGGATCTGGAGAACATCCAGATTCCTGAAGCCCCGCCGCCAGTGCCCAAGGAGCCCAGCAGCTATGACTTTGTCTATCACTACGGCTGAGCCTGGAGCCAGACTCCACCGTAGCCAGGAAGGGATTTGGGGCCCAGGAGAAACACCCACAGACTGGTGCCTTGTCTTTTGCTTGTACAGAATCTGTAGTGACCACGGTGGCCAGTGAATGCCAGCCATTCCTCAGACTCCCCTCAGACCACCCAGAGCTTCTTCTTGGTCCCTGCCCACCATAAGTCACGAAGGCAGGGTGCTCGGCCCTCGCTGTCACCGCGGAGCCCGGGATCGGAGCGTGAGGAATGAATAGCAGACGCCCTTGTCTTCCAGGTCAGGGACTGCTTGGGCTGGAGTTAACAAGAGTCACTCACCTTTTCTTCCTGAGCCTGCTCTCGGGTCAGCTGGATCCCGTGTGGGCAAGAGCTAGCCCAGCAAAGGTTGCCCACAGAGGACAGACGTTCTAGGTGTGTTGAGAGCCTCAGAGAGACTGCCTTTGGGTGACCCATGCCTGTGTCTCAGATCCAAGCAGAGGCCTTGGCCTTTACTTGGTAGATGCCTTGCCCTTGCTTTCGTCGCCTTCGTGAGGGCTCACTCTGGCCTCATTCAGTGCCAGTAAGCTGCTGCTATTGAGGCTCGGCTCTAACATCTCTGGTCTCCGGAGCCACCAGATCTCTCTTGCCCACACAGTTGTCTGGGCGGATGGAAAGTTCTCCCTACCAAGCTCTCAAGCTCTCATCCTGGCAAGTTAAAGACATGCGAGCTAAGTCCTACCCTCTAGTCTCAAAGAACTCTGCAGGGAGAGCCCAGACAAGGCCTGGGCCGAGACTGGTGAGGCCACTGGAGTCCACTCCCTTCCCCCCCCCCCGCCATTTTTATCTTTTCCTTCCTTAGAGAGAAATCTCCCGCCTAACCTGAATAGCAGCCCCCTCCTCTTTGCTTTCCTTTGGCCTCCCCCACCTCAGGAAGTTTGGCCTTCCCTTCGCCCTCCCATCCCAGTGCTGTGGTTTCTGCCACTGGCCATGATTTCAGGGAGCTAGCTGAGGCCACGGCTGTGCCCACGGGCTTCCCTGGTGCTGCGGCACATGTAAACCACGCGCCCAGCCTCCCTCCTTGGACATGTGAACACAGCGGCATTCAGTCTTGGTAGGCCGGCATGGTAGGTACTGCCCGATGAAGAGTGTACTATATATTTTCTTTACTAGAGGCCATACTTATACAGACGTGTATATATATTTATATAAGATCTACCTATCCTAGGACAGAATGTTTGAGGGAAAATAAAATTGGAGGCTCTCCCTAAAACAAAAAAAAGAAAAAGAAAAATACCACTTCCAGTTGTGAGCCAAGAGAGTAACCGAGAGCAGCCAGGAGCTTCCCATCAGTAACCATGTTTTCAATAAATACTCTTTCATGTACGTACCGTGGTACCTATTAACAGCTGTTTCTCTGTACTTGCTCTCTCCGCCCAAGGGAGCTGTCACCTTGACAAGCTTTCATTTCATTATGTCTTTTCAACCACTTTGCCCTCCCTGGGCGTGTGCACGCGCACACACACACCTCGACAGTTCAGGATGCTCACAGACTGTTGCACCAGGACAAAGTGTTTTCTGCTGCGGCTTGCCGGGCACGGCCGGGAACGGCATACCGTACACCCCCATGAGCATAGCCTCCCTCTCCCCCCTGTCAGGGACGCAGCCAGGGAACAGCTCACATTCTTGTGACTTACACAGAAGACACGTTCTTCACCCTGTGTGTCGCCGGTGCTTAGTGCCCAGCCTTCCAGCTGGTGTTTTAGGCTGTTGCTCCAAACCTCAGCCTTGGTAGCTGGGAGGCTTGAATGAGGGTGGTGATGAAAATAGATACTTTCTTTTCCCTCTGAGGGAGAAGGGGGCGAGGACAAGCTTTTTCGAAAGGCACAGCAAGTGCGTGCGGTGCAAGCCTTGAGGACTGAACACAGCCAAGACCTCGGGCAGTGATGGGTGCCATTGTGGGTACTCGCTAAGTGCTGAATGAACAAACTCGGCTGCAGGATGCCAGCTGGCGGGGGCAGGGGGCAGCAGGGGTTTGCATAATGCACTGCTTACACTCTGGGCTTGAACCTTCTGTTCAGAGGGGCCGGGGAAGCTGGCCGAGTCACTCGCAAGGATCCATGTTTGCAGCCAGTGTTAGAGGAGAGCACAGGAGGCACTGGGAGGAGAGGGCAAAAAACCCCTAACTGGCCCCCATTCTGCAACCCTAGCCTGCTCTGCCCTCCTGGGGGTTCTTGCGCCAGGCTCTGCCTGTTTTAATCCATCCTGCAACATGAGTGGGATCTGAATTTCCTAGCTGGCATTTTTGAGACCACTGCAACTGCCCCACAGCTACTTTTCCAACCACGGCTTTTGTTAACTCCCCTTATAAACAGCTGGGCTTTAAGCCAGGCCCCAGCCTTCCCCTCTCCTCATTTCCTCTGCCCTGACACTCCCCCCAGCCCCCACTCAATCTACTGAAATTAAGATAATTCTTAAAGTTTAAGGCACACAAATGTTTCACAAATGTGTATTATTATCTCCCATGGATCTTCTAAGTCCTAAAATTTAATGCCCCTGACTTATCACACTCCCCAGCTGGCTTAAGCTCGCAGAAGAAAAAGCCCATGAGAGATTTCTTTATCTTTGTGGTTCTATGATTGCCCAGCACTGGGTTGGAATAAGGTAAATTAATCTGTTCAATATAAGTAAACAGGTGGGGGCGCCCGGGTGGCTCAGTCGTTTAGCGTCTACCTTCAGCTCTGGTCATGATCCCAGCATCCTGGGATGGAGTCCCGATGGAGCCCCTCATCAGGCTCCCTGGTCGCGGGAAGCCTGCTTCCCCTCTCCCACCTCCCCCTGCTTGTGCCCCCTCTCTCGCTGTCTCTCTCTGTCAAATAAGTAAATAAAATCTTAAAGTAAACAGGTGGCTATTTTCCAGCTGCCCCGGGTACGCATGCCTCCGCAGCACGCACCGGGGCTCCAGAGCGAGGCCGATGGAGCGCAAGAGATAAGCTAAGACAGCACAGGGGTTGCTCAGCGCTGGGTCTCCAGGACGGTGCCAGCGGGCCCACCTCCGGAGCCCCGCCCCGCCCCGCCCCGCCGCCGGCAGGCTCCGCCCCGCCGCCGGCAGGCCCCGCCCCCGGCGTCTTTCGGCGGAAGTGCCCCCCGGTGGCGGCGCTCGGCCCGGCACTTCCGGCCGGATGATCCGGCCCGGAACGCCTGCGGCCGAGGTGAGTGGGCGCGCCGCGGGCCCTGCGCGCGCTCCCGAGGGCGGGGGACGGCCGGCCCGGGCCGGGAAGCGGGGTCCAGGCCGGGCTCTGCGCGCCGCAGCCCGCCCGAGCTCCTGTCCTCCCCGGGCCTCCGTGTCCGCGCCGTGGAGGGGCCGGGGCCTCCACTCGCCCTTCCCGGCCGCCTGCGCGCGCGGCGACGAGCCGGGCCCCGGCCCGGGCGGACCTGCACGGACGCGGCCCAGCCCGCCGAGAGCCGCATCCCGCGGTGGGGTGGGAGTGCGGGGCGCGCAGTAAACACGTGGGCAAACAGGGCAACGTCAGCTGGTGGGAGGTGCCAAGAGGATGAGGAGCGGGCCCTCGAGGAGGGTTCAGCCGAGCAAAGGTCCGCGCAAAGGTCCGCGGGAGAGGGAACGGCTAGTGCAAAGAAGGACGCGGGCTCGACGGGCCTGGCAAGCGGCCAAGGGCCAGCGTGGCGGGCTCCGGGGCAGTGGCGGGAGAACGAGGTTGCAGACACGGGCAGAGGCCAGATGGTTTAAGGCCTCCTCGCGGGCCTGCTCGGGGCTTGGGATTCGCTCTATGAGGGCGTGGTCTGCTGTCAGTGCGTAAGCCTTCACTCCCGCTGCTGTGTGGACTCCTGGCTGTGTCGGGGAAAAGGAGGAAGCAGGGACACCAGTTAGGAGACCGCTGCAGTCCCTAGGTGAGAGATCAGCGTGCCTTAGACTGATGGCCGAGCGCAGGTGAAGACGGGTAGCTGGTCCACAGGGATCTGGGAGGAGGAACTGACAGGATAGGGTTGGAGGAAGGAAGGAAAGAGTGGTCAAGGATGAGTTCATCATTCATTTGGGGACTTAGGCTTAAGTAACCAGGTGTATTGTGCTGGCATTTACTAATAACTTTGGAATAGGTTGGGGGCACCTTCAGTTTGAGGTATCTTGGGTGGAGCTACCAAGGAGACTCTTCGATGTACCAGCCTGGAGCTGGCAGAAAGGGTAGGGCTAATGAAAAGAATTTAGAAATCACTGGAATGTCCATCAGATGGGATGAGATTACTCAGGGGAGAATGAACTTCCACAGGTTGGTTGACAGGAGGAGCCAGCAAAGAAGTCTAGGAGTCCAGAAAAGCAGAAGAAAAAGCAGGAGAGGGGCGCCTGGGTGGCTCAGATGGTTAAGCGTCTGCCTTCAGCTCAGGTCATGATCCCAGGGTCCTGGGATCGAGCCCTGCATCAGGCTCCCTGCTCAGCGGGAGGCCTGCTTCTCCCTCTCCCACTCCCCCCTGCTCATGCTCTCTCTCTCTCTCTCTGTATCTCTGTGTCTCGAATGAATAAATAAAATCTTGAAAAGAAAAAGCAGGGGAGTGTGGTGGGCATCCAAGAGGCTTTAGCAGGAGGAGGAAGTGGTCAGTTTTTAAGGTGCTGATGAAAACTGAGACTTGGTCTTCAGAGGGGCAACAAGGAGGAAGGTGTGGTGACTCAGTGGAGCAGTGGGGACAGGCTGAAGTGAGTCTGGGCTGCAAGAGAGCAAGGATGGTAGTGCTGGGGGCCCTGGGAGAGTTTTGCTCTAAGGGGGCCAGGAGGGGCGTAAGCCCCTGTCACAAGCCACCATCAAGCGCTGTACTGGATGCCATTGACTCCCCTCCCAAGATGCAGATGATTTTATCCTCCTTTACTGGAAACTGAGGTCCAGAGTTCAGGTCATTCGGGGGTCCCAATGTTCACAGAGGAGCCAGGACTGGATCCCAGGTCTTTCTCACTCCAAGCCCACACTTGCACCACTAAACTGCACTGCTCACATTACAGTCACAGAGATTGAGGGGAGCCAGGTGCTCCGGGGGGCTGGGCACCAACTCTACCCTGGTGTGGCTGCCACCCCAGCTAGGCTGCCCCCTGGAGAGTAATGCAGAATATGGAATTCCTTTCTTGGCAGGTGAGATTTGAAAAAGAGCATTTGCCCCTTTAAAAGCCTGGTTTCCCTTATCATAAAAGAAGGGTGGGGACCTTATCAGTTACACATCTCTATTTCCAGTGCTAGGTACACAATGGTGCTTAATAAATGGCCATTGAGTAAATGGCTAGATGATTTCCAAGAGCCTCTCTATCTGAGGACTGATTTTGTGTTTGGGGTTAGGTGACTGAATGACAGTAAGAGAAAGAGTGTTGTTAACTTGGAGGCAGTGCTCCCTGTGGGCTGAGGTAGTCATAGGGACTTTCTGGAGGTGGGGGACCTGGACTGGCTGAAGAAAGGGTGGGATTTGAACAGGAGGTGGGGAGTGGGGGTTGGCACAGATTGCCCTGTTGGAGCAGGAACTGCACCAAAAGCAGAAGATGTGAGAAGTTGACTCACAGAAAGGTACAGACTGCCCTGCCATGGGTGGGAACCCCGGGGAGCAGGTGCTAGAAGGTAGAATGCACTGTGGTTGCCTGTGTAGTGTAAGTAGTCATTCTCAGCAGGGAGTATTTTTGCCCCCCATGACATTTGACCACGTCTGGAGACATTTTTGGTTGTCACAACTTGGGATGAGGAGGAGGGGCTGCTCTAGGCATCTAGTAGGTAGAGACCAGGGTCGCTCCTGGACATCTCACAATGCACAAAGAATGATCTGGTCCCAAGTATCAATAATGCCAAGATTGAGAAACCCGGGTATAGGGAAAGAATATGGGCCTTAAGGTCTGTTAGGCATAGATTTGGTGCCCATGTATCCTGCTCTCCAGCTGTGCTGGCAGGAACCTGCGGGGGGAAGGTGCGGGCAGAAGTAGAGGAGACTAACCTGTCATGTTGTATTGCGGGGGGAGAGGACGGTGGCCTGGAGGGCAGTGGTGGTCAGGAGACGTGACCATATTGGCGATCTTTTTTTAAGACTGAGATGACAATATTTGCTGATTGAAGGTGGGCTGAGGGAGCAAGGACTCAGGATGGGAACAAGATTTCTGGCCTGAGCATCCAGGTGAATGGAGGTGCCCCTGGCTGGGGTGGGAAGAGGGGCAGGTTTGCACAGCTCCTGGGAAACGAGTCAGTGCTGGGCAGGCCGGGGGTGAGTGCCTGGCATTAGACATCCAGGCGTGGACAGACGAGTAGGCCACTGGAGATTCTTCTGGAGGTGACGGGGAGATGTCAACGTACTGATAATAAAAGGTCGCTGAGAATAGAATGTGTTCAGTACGTCAGTTCTGGGTACAAGGATGCTAGAAGCCACAGTGAAGCAGCTGGTGCTCCCACCACCCGCGGGACCTCGGGCAACGTGCTGGCCACCGTGCACAGCGCCGTGGCCATGCTGGGCCGCTGCTCTAGATGGTGTGGTTTCTCCAGACTCGTTATCAAAAACATGTGCATGGCAAACGTAATCTTGGAAATTGTAGTGCATAGGAGAACCATGGAAAAACTGCTCTGTATCACAGATAAAACAGTTGGATTCTTGGGGCGCCTGGCTGTTTCAGTCAGTAGGGCGTGTGACTCTTGATCTCAGGGGTATGAGTTCGAGCCCCATGCTGGGGATAGAATTTACTTTATCTATTTATTTTATTTATTTATTTTTTAATTTTTTTTTTTTAAGATTTTATTTATTTGCGAGAGAGAGAATGAGAGACAGAGAGCATGAGAGGGAGGAGGGTCAGAGGGAGAAGCAGACTCCCTGCTGAGCAGGGACCCTGATGTGGGACTCGATCCCGGGACTCCGGGATCATGACCTGAGCCGAAGGCAGTTGCTTAACCAACTGAGCCACCCAGGTGCCCCTATCTATTTATTTTTTTAAACATTTTTTTTTCCTAAAGATTTTATTTATATATTTGACACAGAGAGCGCACAAGCAGGGGGAGCGGCAGGCAGAAGGGGGAAGGAGAAGCAGGCTCCCCGCTGAGCAGAGAGCCCAATGCGGGGCTTGATCCCAGGACCCTGGGATCATGACCTGAGCCGAAGGCAGCAGCCTAACCAACTGAGCCACCCAGGCGCCCTAGGATTTACTTAAAAACAAAAAAGCAAAACACAGTTGTGTTTGAGGTTCAGGTAATTATAAGTAAGTCTTATACCTACATGGATTGTCAAGGTTACAGAGGATGCAGAGCAGTTCTTAGTTATGTGGACCGTCGCTCTCAGGGACCCCCCCCCCACCATATCACTAAAAGCTAGGAGAGTTCCCCCAAAACACCCCCACAGGTTTCCGAAGTTCCCCTCACGAGAACCTCAGCCCTACCATATCCTTCCAGCAAAGCCTTATGCTAGCTCCCAGTTTGCCTCGGGGGAGGGCGGTGATACCCAGCTTCCAGCATACAGAGGTGAATGAGATGACTCCCTTCAGAAAGGACTGGAGGTGGGGAAAGCAGGGTATGTTGGATCAGATGGTCCTAGGAAGGCTTCCAGGAGGTGGCATTTCAGCAGGTTGGGAATGTCTCAGAGGAGGAGATGGTGACTGAAGGGACACACACATGAAGCAGCAGGTGGGATAGCTGTGGACCTAGGTCAGCCCAGTCTCAAAGCTCGTGTGCTCTGGACCCTCATTAGGGTTGCCTAGATTGATAGGCTGGGAGTGGTTTAGTTAGGCAAGACCCTAAAGCAGGCACGGCCTCTATGGGAGTGGTCCCTTAGAGGCTAAGGGCAGGGTAGGTTGGTTTCCTGGTTTCCTGGTCCATTTTTAATGCCTTAAAGATCAGATCAGTGCCCTGAAAACCAAGTGCCCACTCTCTTGCACTGAGTCATCGAACCATACGGACAACTCACAGTGTGCCCAGTGGGCGCAAGACTACCATGAGGTAGTCCAGGAAGACAGGAGCGCACAGCCTCCCAGGGGACAGACACCACTCAGATGGGCATGCCCTACACAGGTGCACTGAAGGGAAAGTAGGGGAGCTGGGGGAGCACCCAATCAAGGAGGGGTCATCCCTGAGGAAGCAGCGGTTGAGCTGAAGTTGAGTAACATCAGCTGAGAGAGGACTGGAGGGTAGGCAGCGCGTCCGTTCCTTCAGGCAGTAGGAGAGAGCCTGTGTGTTTGGGGAACTGAGGCAGTGGTGGGGTGGGGACAGAGAGCCCAGAGCTGAGGCTGGAGAGGCCAGCGGGGACAGGTCAGGAAGGCTCTTGGTCTTTATCATAAGTGCGCTGGGAGCCACTGAAGGGCTGACATCTGATCTGACGTGATCAGATTTACAATTTTAAAGGGTCACTTTGGCGGCAATTCATAGAGAACAGCTTGAGGCGACAGAGTGGATGTGGCTGGAGCTCTGTGAGCCCATTGCTGGGCCTGCGCCCCTTCCTGCCGCCCCCCACCCCCGGGTCCGCTTTGGTCTGCTCCCTGCGGGCAGGGGTGGGGCGGACCAAGTCGGGCAGCCCTCGCTCTGCCGGGCCGCCCAAGCTTCCTTTCCATTCCTCTAGCCTTGGACCTGGAGACCTGTGAGGCCTGCATCCACTTAATCATGGAGAGGATTGCCTCGGGCCACCAGCCCCTTGGGTGAGGCCTCTGCCTGGGGCTCCGTGGATGGTTCCGAATCATGGAGGCGAAGAGGACTCCTCCAGCCAGGAGACCTTGTTGAAAGTCGTGGCCCAGCTCGGCCGGCTCTCCCTGCGGCTGTTTTCGGGAGGGGTGCCTGCCCCCACTGACCCAGAGCGAGGGAGTTGGAGCTTCCCCGGATGGGGAGGTGGGCCCTCGACGTGGCCTATGTGTGGAAGGCAGTGTTGACTCTGGGGCTGGTCCTTCTCTACTACTGCTTCTCCATCGGCATCACCTTCTACAACAAATGGCTGACGAAGGTAATGGCAGGCCTTGCAGTGCAGGGCGCTGGTGAGGAGGGGGCTGCGCCATGGCCCCCGCGTCCCCGAATATTTAGCAGCGGGTGGCACCGGCTTCAACTAATCAGACTGGAAGCCAGTCACACCAGTGATGGGACAGGGCCCTAGAGCCCTGCTGCGCCAGGGGTTCCCCTCAAACGTGTGGATCGAGGGGAAATCGGGAAGGCGGGGAGACACTGAGGATGAGCTGGGGTAACTTGGGATTAAGGCAGCAGCTGTTTACCAACCGGCAGAGAAGGACTTCAGTATTTTCGTGACTGGTTGGGCCACACTGGCCAGCGCTAGCTGTGACCTGGGGGGCGGGGGGCTGGAGCAGGAGGCTGACAGGCCTGTGGAAGCCATGGGGACAGCACCGTGGTCCGACTGAGCCCTGGTCTGCCACCTGCTCTCGGCCTGGTCTCCACAACTGGAACTACGGGGCTCTCACCCCAAGTGACTGCAATGTCGGGGGCGGGGGAAGCCCCCTGGCCGCTGTAGAGCCCTGAGGAAGCACCCAGTTAGCGCCACTGCCTGCAGTGGGGGGTCATGGGGGGCTGTGAACCCGCCCGGTTGTCTCTGCTCTGGGTCCCGTAGAGCTTCCACTTCCCGCTCTTCATGACGATGCTGCACCTGGCCGTGATCTTCCTGTTCTCTGCCCTGTCCAGGGCCCTGGTTCAGTGCTCCAGCCACAGGGCCCGTGTGGTGCTGAGCTGGACGGACTACCTCAGGAGAGTAGCTCCCACAGGTACGTGGCCATGGGGTGGCCGTGGGCGGGGGGGGAGCCTGGAGGGGGGTCACGTGGAAGCCGTGGGCTAAGAACAAGGAGCCTTGGTGGCTTGGAGCAGAGGCCCTCTCCACCCCGCCCCCCCACTCCTCTCTGCCTGCCTCCCCCCAGCCCTACTGCTGCCTCTTGTGTCCTCCCCGCCCCCCCCCCACATACACACAACACGCACGCACGCTCACACGCACCGGGAAGAGCCCCCCATGCAGCACTGGCCTTGACTGGTGCGCCGAGCCCGCGCCTGCTCTCACCTTGCCGCGGGGGGACAGTGGGGGGCACCTCGGGGCACAGAGCAGGGAGCCAGCCCGGGCCCAGCGGGGAGGGCCTCCCAGAGCATGGGCTGCAATGGCCGAGCGTTTAGTGCCTGTGCAGGTCTGCAGGGGGACGGAAAGCATCTCGGGGCCCTGGGAGCTCCGCGCTGGTGAGGAAACGTGGGCGGAGAGGGTGGCAGGGACAGATCCTGGAGGGGGACCAGGTCCTCCACGAGGGGTGCGCCTTCCATCCTGAGGGAGGAGAAGCCGCTCTGAAGAGTTGCTCATGAGGGATGCTGGGACCAGACACATTAATCCTCTTCCTGGGGGACATTCCCAGCACTTACCGATCAGAACGGCCTGAGCCTCTAATGGTGGAGCTGCACCCCCTCCCTTTGTGGGCCAGGAGTTAGCCCTTCAGTTGCTGTGAGTGAAAGGAAGGCCCAAGGGCCCGAGAGAAAGCCGGGTGTCCAGGGCAAAGCAGGGGGCGCTCGGGGGCCTCATGGAAGTGTTTGAACACCTGGCCCGCCCGGTGGGCGCCCCTGTTTCCACAGCCCTGGCGACAGCGCTTGACGTGGGCTTGTCCAACTGGAGCTTCCTCTACATCACCGTCTCGCTGTGAGTACCAGCCCCCCGCCTCCCGCCAGGCTCAGGCTCAGGCTCTGTCTGACCCTGTCCAGGCGCCCCCCGGGCCTGGGGGCCGGCCACGCCATCACTCTCTGGGAGTGGCGCCTGCTCTCAGCTCCGCCCTGACAGCCAGCAGCGCTCTGGGAAGTTGACGGGCTCTGAGGGGTGCTGTGCCTGCCTTCCCTGGGGGCCTGGGGGAGCCAGGCGCTCGGCAGAATGGTGCCAGTCATGCCGGGGAGGAAGGGCACTGACCTGCACAGAGAGGCAGGTGTAACAGCTGTTTCTCATCTCTGGCCTTGTACTTCAGGGTACACAATCCCTGCCTTCTCTTTTCCCCCTTCCCTCCTTCCTTCCTGATCCTGGTCTCCACGGAAGAGCAGATAAGTAAGAGGACTCACTGAGCCCAGGGTTCACCTGCAGCCTCTTCTCTCTGGCGATAGTCAGAGGCCCCTTCGTCAGAGGTTTCTTCCAATTAAAGGTCACATACTAGCCCAGATGACTCAGGCCGCCTTCCTTTGGTCTTTTGTACCCTGATTGCCCAGCTGCCCTGAGCAGAGCCGGTTGCCCTCAGGGAAGTCAGAGGTCCCCACAGCCTCCCACCCTTTCCAGCACAGTCAGTGGGCTCCTCTCCCGGTGGTGGGTCTGAGCCCTGGGCCCCGGCGCTGCATCGTGGCTAATTTGTCCTTGCAGGTACACAATGACCAAGTCTTCCGCTGTCCTCTTCATCTTGATCTTCTCCCTGATCTTCAAGCTGGAGGAGCTGGTGAGGCCCCAGCTCCCCTGGTCCCTCCTATCCCTGCAGATGCTAAGACTAAAGAGGGTGTCTGAGCAGTGGCTTGTCACTGTGTGTGACAGAGGAGATGAGCCCAGCCCAGGTGGCGGTAACTCCTGTCGCTGAGGAAGGACCTAGGACAGGCCACTGCTGAGAATACTTAGCAACTGGCGTGGCAGGTGTAATGACCAAAAGAATGACAGAAAGAGAAAGGGTTCAAGGATAGGGACCAGATGCAGCCAGGTCCTGGAGGCAGTCGCCCTTTATTTGCGAGGTCCAGGGTACTAGGGGACCTCCCGGGGGCCTAGAACAGCTGTAGGAAAGCACATCAGAAGGTTAGCTCAAGGAGGGATGCTGGGTACATGTCCACTGAATGTCAGCCCTGCCTACATTGGTGGGAAGGAGCTGGCCGGGACCCCCAAGGTCACAGGGAAGAAGGGTTTCTTGCCCCAGAGTCAGCCAACACAGCTCCTGAGCCCAAACTCCAGGGTTGAGCAACTCAGGACCCTGCAGTCAGTGGCCCCTGCTCACCACCCTGATAGCGTGCGGCCCTGGTCCTGGTGGTCCTCCTCATCGCCGGGGGCCTCTTCATGTTCACCTACAAGTCCACGCAATTCAACGTGGAGGGCTTTGCCTTGGTGCTGGGGGCCTCATTCATCGGTGGCATTCGCTGGACCCTCACCCAGATGCTCCTGCAGAAGGCGGAACTTGGTGAGAGAGGGCCCCGGGCACCAGGCAGGGTGGAGGCAGGCTGAGCCTGATGACTCACCCCCCGCCCTCGTTTGCAGGGCTCCAGAACCCCATCGACACCATGTTCCACCTGCAGCCACTCATGTTTCTGGGGCTCTTCCCTCTCTTCGCCATCTTTGAAGGTACGTTGGGTCGTCCATCTTGGGGGCACCTCACTACAACAGATCCCCCTTCCTTGCTCGGAGCCCACCTCCGTGGTAGCTGCAGAGGTTATAGAGATCAAAGTTTCGGTCTATCCATTGGCAGAGCCTGGTCTAAGGGCTGGACAGACGTTAAAGCAGGTGGCTGGCATCCAGCCTGATAAATGCTTACACAGAAAGTGTATGTAAAAGACAACAGCCGATCATGACAGTGGATGTGTACAGCCTGGGAGCTATGCCAGGGCTCTTCTGACCTTTTTTTTTTTTAAGATTGATTGATTGATTTATTAGAGAACATGAGCGGGGGGAAGAGCAGAGGGAGAGGGAAAAGCAGGCTCCCTGCTGAACAGGGAGCCCGACGCGGGGCTCGATCCCGGGTCTCCAAGGTCATGACCTGAACTGAAGGCAGATGCTTAACCGACTGAGCCCCCCAGGTTCCCCTGTTCTGATCATTTTAAACATACTAATTCTTATACTCCCCCAAACCCCATGTGGCAGTACCAGCATTATTTTCATCCTGCAGGTCAAAGAAATAAGTGGAGAGAAGTAAAGATAACCTTGCCCAACGAGCCAGGGTTTGGTTCCAGCAGCTGGTTCCTGAGTCCTTCCTCTTAACCGTGATGTGTTCTGTCTCTTAGAAGGAGCAGAGGGCCAGGAATTCTTTCAGGATGCTAGGGTGGAAAGCCAAGTCAAAAAGACTTCCCAGGCCATGTATTTTGGAGGCTGGGGGAGGCTTTGCTGGGCTAACGGGCACAGGGCATAGCAGGAAAGCATCAGTAGGTTCCGAGGGTGGAAGTGTGTGGGATGGTCTGTGTGGCCCTGGCCGTGGCGCAGTGGCTGGGTAGGGGGGACCCCCCCACCCACCATCACCTCCCAGAGAAGAGGAGAGGCAGGGAGTACTGTCCAGGCTGCAAGTGCATGCCTCCTTCCTTCCTTCCTCCCTCCCGGGTTTCGAGATTAGTCTCTGTCCCTGTTTATCCTTCTTCCCTGAGTCCCTTCCTTCTGTCCTCGGCGTCATTACAGAGAATTCTGTCCCACATCCATTTAAGTTTCAAGCCGTGAAGCGTCTCGAACCTCCCTGAGAAAATGATTCTGCAGCCCCCCTTTTTCTTCCAGTTAACATCTCCCCGCCCCACCCTCGCCTTCTGCCCCCTCCCGTCCTGGCCACGGACACCCTTCCCCATCCCTGCACACCCTCAGCCAAAAGCCCTGGTTGTCGTCACTTAGTAAAGCTGTATGGATTTAGCTCCTTTAATCTTTTCTGGTAAATTAATCCCCCAAGCGCCTTCATTACTTATGTTGCTCTTTCCCGAATTCCCTTCAATTTGCTGACGCCTTTGCAGTACGGCTGAGCCCAGCACCAGACAAGATGTCTTACATCGGGAGGCTGTTTGTCCGGGAGGGCCTGTCACTCTGCATTTCTCTGGTGCTTCCCTCCAAAACCTCAGCGAGCCCGGCCCGCCTCCAGCTCCCACAGGTGTCATCGCTGTGCTTTGCGCGGGGCCTTTCCTGCGCACAGCCACGGAGTCACTCTGAGGGACGGTATGGGAGCACCAGGAATCCTCTAGAAGTCATGCCAGACTCGGTGTGTGGGTGCCCGTAGGGGTGTCTCGAGAACAAGGCTTTGTCCTATATTTGTGTGTGGGCGTTTACTTTTTGGGAATTGTTCCCCACATTATACTGTCTGTCTGAGGAACGCAGGTCTAGTCGAAATGCTCTCACTGGGGGAGCGGGTCCCGAGAGGGGGCACGTCTCAGCCTCGTCCCACAGCTGTGTGATGGCAAGAGCCGGCTTAAAGTGGAGAAGGTTTGGGAGGATAAAATGAGGCCCTGTTGATAGGTGGCCCCCCTGACATTGAGAGCGAGGGCTCGCCCTGGGGTCCGGGGCGCTGATACTCATCACTCATCACCCAATGGGCTGCCCCGCCTCTCTTTGGCCCACTACTTACCACAGCTGCAGAGGCCACGTGAAGTCACGCTCCTTCCCAAAGACAGGTCAGTACCGTGGGAGGACAGAGGCTTCTGTCCGATTTTCTGTGCGGTGCCAGGCCCTCCACCCTAGCCCGCAGGCTCTCGGGGAGGCCCTCGCTGCTTCCCCAGGTCCCCAGGTGTCAGGCCGTCCGCACAGCGTTCTCTTCCACCTGCCATCCCCCTCCTCGGGGCCACAGTGAGTGCACAGGTGTGCGGGGGCCGTGACTGCCCCATGCTGGGTCTCCTGCTCCCTGGGGACACCAGCACGTGGCCTCCCACTCTCTCCCTCTGCTTTCAGGTCTCCATTTGTCCACGTCTGAGAAGATCTTCCGTTTCCAGGACACCGGGCTGCTCCTGGGGGTACTAGGGAGCCTCTTCCTTGGAGGGATCCTCGCCTTCGGTCTGGGCTTCTCTGAGTTCCTCCTGGTCTCCAGAACCTCCAGCCTCACTCTCTCCATTGCTGGCATTTTTAAGGTACAGACTTGGGGGTGGTTCCAGTCCTGTCTTACAGCGCGGCCCCCAAGCTCAGTAGCAGCTTCTGTCCCAGCTCCCACGCCCCAGACCCCAGAGAAGAGACAGAAGTGCCTGGTTAGGGTGCTGTGTGCCGTGCTCTTGTCTGAGACTCCCTGTCATCGGGGCTGCAGCCCTGGGCGGTGGAGGCGGTCCTCCCTGGTTCACAGATGGGTGGCTCCTCCACCAGGACACACAGCCAGCAGGTGGCCGAGCTGGGATTCTGACTCCACTGGGCCTGGGATGCATTCTCTTGTTACCATGAATGCCCACTCTGGTCATTTGGTAGTGGCCTGGAGCCAAGGGTTGAGAAGCCCCGCCCAGGCTCGTGGGGAAAGGGTTCCGTGATTGATTGGCGATGTCTGCCGTGGTTACAGCAAGGGACAGCGCTAGCACGCGTGCCCGGTGTTTGCCTGGTTTGCCTTTACTGCTGCCTGGCATCACACGTGCCTCTACTCCCAGGCTCCCCCCTCCCCTGCCACCCCTCACCCCACCCTGCTCGGGCCCATGGGGGCGGGGTGCAGTTTCTCCTTGATGAGACAGACGCTAATGCCGGAGCAGTGTTGCCTAAACCCAGAATCATGTCTCCCCAAGGGGCTTAGGAAGAGGCGTGAGCTGTGGTTCTCAGAGTGAGTCATCCCACCAGTCCCATCGGCAGCCACCGTGTCTGCAGAACCCCGTGGCCAGTGTGTGTCCGGTGGAGCCCGGGGTGATGCTGCATTCCCCTGTGGCAGCGTTGCGCTCTCCATGTTGGGTGCCTTCTGGAAGCACAGCTCTCCTTCACTCTTCACTCCTGTGGACATGGCTGTGGGCTGGACACTCTGTGCTCCCAGCCCTGGGTCTGCTTTGCCTCTCTTAACACTGACAGGACACTGTGCAGAGCACCTCCCTTGCTGTGTCTTGGTAGCACGAAGGGAGGAAAGCATCGCAGGCAGGCCTGGTCCTCCGAGCTCAGGGAAGGCCTGTTTTTGCCCCGCTGGCCAGCCTGCCCCGGCCCCAGGAGCTCCGGCGGGTCAGGCTCTCCCCTGCCGTTGTGCCCGGTGCCCCTGCCGTCCACCCTCCTTGCGAAGGAGCCCACTCCAACTGATCGCTTCCCCTTCCTGCCTCTCCGCCCTCAGGAAGTCTGCACTCTGCTGTTGGCAGCTCATCTGCTGGGGGATCAGATCAGCCTCCTGAACTGGCTGGGCTTCGCCCTCTGCCTCTCGGGCATATCCCTGCATGTTGCTCTCAAAGCCCTGCACTCCAGAGGTAACCCGGGCCCCTTTCAGAAGCCTCTTTTCTGATGACGCTCCCTGCTCCCCGTGTGACTCGGCCCCTCTGACCTCCGCTCCACCCAGTCCTGGGGCCCCAGCCACCCCGCCAAGAAAGGCAGGTGGCTCTCGGCTTGCCCAGAGCAGTTGCCGCTGGGTGGCTGTCTCCGCAGTTCAGCTGCCTCCGCCTAGGCTGCCCCTGGGCCAGGAAGTCAGCCTCGTGGTTCTGCCACCGCCACTCAGAAGATGGTTGTCTCCAGGGAGGGGGGGAAGGGGGGGGACCTGGGTGACTCAACACGCGCATCGGGGGGCACCAAGAAAGCCATGATCAGGTCTACAGCCGGTTTTTCTCTCTCCCCAGGTGATGGTGGCCCCAAACCCTTGAAGGGCCTGGGCTCCCACCCTGACCTGGAGCTGTTGCTGCGGAGCGGCCAGCCGGAGGAAGAGAACAATGAGGAGGAGGACTACTTTGGGGCCCAGGGGCAGCAGTGACCAGCCAGGGGACCTGCTGGGAGCCAGGCTGCTCCCAAGCCTCACACCTCACAGCAGCCTGGGGACCCGGGTGGCTCTTCACAACAGCCGGGGAGCAGTGGGCCAGGACTCTCCCGGGCTGGGCCTCGGGGAGCACGGGACCACATGGCAGGGCTTGGTCAGGGAACTGGTCGAACAGAGGGGCGAGCGTCAGACCAGAGCAGGGCCTAAGCCGCGCTGGAGTCACAGCGGGACAAGGGAGCGGGCTGGTCTCAGCTGCTTGCCAGGCTCTGACAGCCCAGGTGGTGATTTCCGGGGGAGAGCAGGTTTCTAAGGGGACCGGGTTTAGACTGCGGAGCGGTTGGGAAGGGTTGATGGAGAGCCTGGAGCCTCATCACCTGGAGCCCATCTTTTCTCAGTACAGGTCTATTTATAGTTTGGAAATAAAGGATTTACGGTCCACTGGCCTAGACTGGCCTAGTGTTGCCTAGAGGGGTGGGGGTGGGAGGGGGCGGTGTGGGCCTTGCTCTCCCGTTCTTCCCCTGCCTGGGACCTTCAGATGACTGGTCAGACTCCAGGCTTCCTGCATCTCTTGTACTCCTCTCGGGGCCCCAGCACACCGACAGGCAGGAAAAAATACGTGCGGAGCACTATTCTGGGGCGGTTAGTGCTTTCACAGCGTGGATTTGAATCCTGACTGTCACTTTGAGCTGTGTGACCTTGAGCAAATTACTTAACCTCTCTGTACCACAGTATTTTTCTCTGTGAAATGGGAATAATTATCTCAGTTGTTCAGATCGAGTCAATATTGATAACAGATTAAATGTTATATATATAAGTGTTTATTTTGCAAATTCTTTCAACAACCATGGAATCAAGACCCTAAACGAGTGCCGGAACTAGGATTCACGGCCAGGTCCGTATGCCACGCGTATGCCCATGGAATGTGGATGGAATGGCTTAGGGGCCTCTGGGACCTGAGCTTTCTGCTCACCTACCTTGGACCAGTCACGCCGCCCCTCTACACTGTAGTCCTTCTAAGACGGGAGGGCTGGGCCCAGATCCTGGCTCTGATTTGCCAGGGTTCTGAAGCCTGGCCGCCGCCCGCCGGCCAGCCCCGCTCCCCCCCCCCCCCCCCCCCCCCCCCCCGCCAAGTACTTCGAGGCCCAAGCGCCTGTAGGCACCCACGGTAGGTGGCGCCATTGCCGCACGCGGCGCCGCCACTCTCCGAATGCAGGCTGGGGTCCTCGGAAGGGGACAGTGGTGTCTCCGGGTGGGCACCAGGATGGGGCTTGGTGTGACTTTTGCTCTAATCACATCGGAGCCACAAAAGCTCACTCTGTTAAGCCTAGGAAAACAGTTCCACTTTAGAAGCAGGTCGGCAAACTTTTTCTGTAAAGGGCCAGATAGTCCGTGTGGCAGCTCCTCGCATCTACTGTCCCCCTCCCGGCAGGACGGCGGACAGACACAGACACAAGAGGGTGTGGCTCTGTTCCAGGGACACCTTACTTCCAGAACCAGGACTCTGCTGCCGGCTCTAGTTTGCCAACCCCTGCTGTAGAAGAGCCCTTAAGAATGATGGAGACCTGCAGTCTTCCAGCGAGGGAAACTGAGGCCCAGGAGAGGGGCAGTGACTAGCCTGAGGTCCTCAGAGCCTCCGGGCTCTGGAGGAATTAGGATGAGATCTGCGTCCAGCTCCGCAGTCACAGTGCAGACAGACTTGCCCCTGGGAACGGAGGTACCGCTCCAAGGGCTCCCCGGAGCTGGGGGCTCCTCTGTGTCGTCACCTCTGCCCCCCCTCCCGGATTCTGCAAGCGCAGAGGCCCGGGTTAGAGGCAGCTCACACTGCACACCGGATGGGATGCCAGATGACGTGGGGAGAGCCAGCCGAGGGGAGGGCCTCCGCCGGAGGGGCTGCTCCAGGGCGGGAGAGCCTGCCACGGCCCGCGCTGGCTCAGGTGGCTGAGAGCTTCCTGTCTGCTCCCCCCGCCCCGTCCCCCCTCTCCCCCCACCGGGAGTAAGCACTGCTGTCTGGTGCAGTAATTACAGGGTGCGAGCGGGGCCCACACCGCCGCATATTGGGTTCAATGACAGCCCCTCACTTAGCAGCAATTACCAGCTGAGCCAGGAGGAGGCCTCCCTCTCCTCCCCCACCCGGCCCACCCAATCGCCTGGCCTCCTGGGCCAGACGGCGTCCCCTCGGGGGCCCGCGAGCCCCAGAAGTACCCATGCTATCTGCAGGCTTTGCATCTCGGGGCTGCAGCGTCGCCATGGCAACTCGGTGCTTGCACAGGTTGAGGGAAGCTGAGGATGTGACTTGTCTCTCTAAAGCTGTGGCGTCTGTCCCCACACAGCCTCCAACTCTGGGGCTTCCGCAGAGGAGGGAGGAAGGAGGGCTGACCTGCAGGTTCAAGTTTTAAGTGCTTACATGCCCACCGTCTCTCCCCGGGGCCTGCGGTGGAAGGAAGGCTAATGCCCCTAATATATGAGGATGTCTGCAGTCGGGGTCGTGGCGGGGGGGGAGGAGAAGCAGCCGGGTTCACCTGTGGGGGAGACCCGAGACAGGAGCTGGACCTGAAATGCGTTCATCTTCATTCTGGCACCCTTCTCTGCCTGGGCTTGGGGGGCCACCCCCGTCTGGTTCTGCTCCTTGCTGCTGAGAAAAACCTGAAAATCCCAGTGGCTGGAGAGTGGAGTCCCTTGTCACCAAGAGAATTGTCTCCGTGGTACTTGCCACAGCTTTCTGCATCATGCAGTAACGTTGGACTGAGAGGGGTCCCCAATTTGCAATAAAGAGGACAGGGTGGGGACCCCCAGGTGATCCATTTGGGTCGACCGCCCTCAGTGAGCGTTGGCCACAGGCCGGACGCTGTGCTGGACTTGGGTTAGCACATTCACTGGGCACCCTAGGCCTCTCACAGAGAGGTTATTTGTCCCCAACAACCCAGGGAAGTAGGGGTGGATTGTACCTATTTCAGAGCTGTGGAAACGAAGCTCATGGAGGTTAAGCAGCACCGTGACTGAGAGCAGCCTGGGACCCCACCAGACTTGGAGTTACCTCTCCTCTCGGCCCTGTGACGAGGCACGTGCCTTGGGCACATTGCTGGTCCCCTCTGGGTCTGTCTCCTTGTCTGTAAAGAAGGAATAATAATAACCCATATCTCTTAATGAAGCGATTGAGTAGATGAAATAGACTCATCTGTGTCAAACCGCACAACGCCGGGCACACGCTAGGGGCTGCACAGCAGACGTCAGCGGCCAGGGTGTCACATCACTTGCCAGGTGACAAAGCCAGGGAGAGGCACAAACACGGGGGCCCCGGCCCTGCAAAGGCGCCATCCTGCCTACCATGCCCGGCACAGCAGAGACATTTAATAGATATTTGTTCTGTGAAGGAGTTCCCAATAGTGGAAACTAAAGGGGATTTTCCAGGTTCCGGGGACCTCGGCCTAACTTCTAAATGAGTCCCCCTGCCCCCACCCCAACCAGCACCACCCATTCCTGCCGTCCTCCAGCCTCCCAGCCATCCCCTTGAGCCTTCACCCCTAACCACACAGCCCTGACATCAGCCAGGCCCCTTTGCCCCTGCTTTGTAGCAGCCAATTAGCTTGACTTCTGTTCCCATGGTTATTTACAGCTTCGTTGGCAACTAGTGCATTTCTCAGAAACAGGCCCACAGCTCTGGTCCCACTGGCATCCTGCTGGCAGGACTGTCCCTTTCTCCTGGGTGTCTGATGAGAACTCTCCTGCTGGGACAACAGAGGGACAGAGCAGAGAACTGAGAGAAAAGGCCCTAAGATGTATTGAAAAACTGGTTCTGGAGTATCTATCATGTGCCCTGGCCAGTGAGAGCTGCTAGAGATACCGAAGTCATTAAGACACGCTTGCTGTCCTCAGTGAACTTCCGCAGGGCTTTTTAATCCACTGGGTTCCCTGGGAAGTAGACGCAGGGTGAGAGATCGGGCTGGAGGACCTTGTTTAGCAAGTGCTCTTGGGAAAAACACCTGTGGAAGGGAGGGAAAGGATGCAAGTTTGGGCAGGGGAGAAGTCCAGCTTTGAGGTAGTCCCGACAGAGAGCTCTGGAGAGGGGATAACCCTTCAGACTTATCCCACGTTGGGATAACTAAGCCTTTGCACTTCCACATTGATCTGTCACTCGAAGTGAGCCTACCCTGGATGAAGGCATGACTTTGGGTCAGGCAGTTGCCTTCTGAATAAGACAATCTCCAAAGAGGGCTGAGAGTTGAAGGCCATCTTCCAGCCGAGATCCCAGTTGCTGCGGGAAATCAGTCTTTCAATCCCAGAGGGGTCTGAGCAGCCCTTCACAGCATCCACCACTCCTGGGGTCCACAGCCTGACTTCAGAGATGACCAGAAATCTTTGAAGAGGGAAGCAACATGGCATGTATGTGCATATGTGCATTTTCCAGGGGAGAGTCCTTGACCCCCAAAAGATTAAGAACCACTAGTCTGGGGAAAGCCAAGCTGATCCAAAACAACATGATCAGAGATGCAAACTATAAGTACTTAATAAATATGAATGAGTGGATGGGTGGATGGATGGTTGGGTGGATGATGGATGGGTGGGTGGATGGATGGATGAATGGATGGATGATGGATGGATAATGGATGGGTGGATGGATGGATAGATGGATGGATGATGGATGGGTGGATGGATGAATGAATGGATGGATGGATGATGGATGGATGGATGGATAATGGATGGGTGGATGGATGGATAGATGGATGGATGAATGGATGGACGATGGGCGGATGGATGGATGATAGATGGATGGATGGATGGGTGGGTGGGTGGATGGATGGGAGGGTGGATGGATGCCATAACAGAAGAATGTATGGGAGGGACAGAAAGGGGAGCAACGAATTTTGCCTGGTGCAGGAGAAGAGCAAAAATTCTGAGGAGGAGCCGACCCTTTTGAACAGAGTCTTGAAGACTAAATAGGAGTTGCCAAGCAGACAAAAGGAGAAAGGCATACAAGGCAGGGGGAAGAGCAGATGAAAAGACACAGAGGTATGAGTGATTTCTTTCCCTCTTGCAGTCCACCCCTAGGAGGTCCGTGTTATTAGCCACCCCACTTTCCAGATGAGAAACAGGCTCCGAGAGGCCAGGTGACTTGCCCAAGGTCATTCACCTTGCTCCCCATCATAGCAAGAAGCCAACCCCCTGGGACTCACACCTCCCAGGGCCGCCATCCACTGCGTGGCCCTCTGGTTGGGATGCCAGCCGTCTCACTACCCTGCTGGGACTAGACCCCTCAGGCTAGTGACGTCAAGAATGGCCCAGGGCTGGTGGTGGGGCAGCCTCCCACTGGCAATATTTTGCTCCAGGAGGAATCCCCCACTGATCCAAACCTCCTGTCCTGTTCCAGGGCTGCCCCATGAATTAAACATGCCCCCGTGGTTAACTCAGTAATGCTTTTATTAATAGTTAATTACTCAGCGCGCACTGGGGAAATGAGAGTCGCTCAGGCCTCGTAAATTAAGGCAGTGATCTTGTGAAGGAAGCCAATAGGAGTTCATTACCCGGCCCCTCCCGCCTCCGCCCCTCCAGGCTTGCCACTTAGCGGTGCTAAACGGGCTGAGCAGGCTGTGGGGGGACAGGCCTTCTGCAGAGGTGGAGGCGCAGGGGGCTCTCCCCCTCCCCTGGTGTCTGAGGAGGGATCAGCCGCGGGGCTGAGGTGTCTGCCAGGAGACAGCACCTTGTCCTGGGCCTGTGGCCCCTGTCACTGGGCAGGGGGAGGCAGGACCCGCAGGCAGGGCAAGGCCACCTGGGCCAGGTGCAGGCTCCCTCACTCAGCCCCTGGGCGGACGGAGGGCA